TGCTTATGCTCCAAGTGCTCAACTTTCACAGTATTGAAGGCTCACACCATTCGTTATATTCTAAATGGTTTTTCAGCAAAAGATAAATGTGTGCCTTAACTGCCATTCCTTCCAATTATTATTTACAAAGAGAGTGAATGCGCCAAATATGCGAATACACTATTAGTTATAATATAAAATGCATTCAAATCCACAAAAAATTGTAAGGAATAGTTGACCCCATTTATTGTGTATACAACTAATGGCACAGAATTTATTATTCTTTGCACTGAAATATACTTGAAATTCAAGTTCGATTAGTTTGCGCTCAAAAAATTCATTACAATATTCTCTGTATGTAATAAATTATGTTTTTTTTGTTTTACTGTATGCTGTCTCTAATTATTACCATTGAATATGCGATCGTATGTTAATGCTATGTTTGTGTAAAATTGCAAAATAAAGTGAATTATTAAAAACTTAAGCCATATTGATATGGAGTGTCTGTCTGTGTGAAGCGAACCAAAAATTATATATATTTCTTGAATTTCAATTTTCTCTGGCTTTCGCTATTCTATAGTGAAAGTCGAGAAAATATAATTTGCTTCAACTTGCATGTATAAATCAGTAACTGTATTAGATTGTCAAACATTTTTATGTCGATTCTTGACGAAAAAATTTATGTCCAATTCTTTTGAACAAATATCTCGTCCTATTTCTCAATACAAACATTGATTTTGAGGGCATCAAAGTTTTTTGTTACCGAAATCAATATTTATATGAATTTCAAATATGGTTTTGTACTCTTGGAAATGAATGCAAACTCAAACACCGCTAAAGAATCGGTGAAAAAGCCGTTTATTCTGGTATTCATTGAGAATGTCAGTCCATTCAATAACTATTATACTGTACTCTTGTAAACCTGTTCCCCTCAAAGAGATGTCAATTATTTTAAATAATTTATTAAACCATAAGTGGATCGAGAAAATCGAAATTATAAGGCTTTCATCGATATTATCAACAAAAGCACACATACTATACAAGACTTTCTCAACAAATTTGTGCCCTATTTTTAAGACTCTCACGCATATGAACGGATCAATTGTGGAGTTGCAATGATTGACACAATAAGAGTACAGCCGCTTTCAAACCATTATTGACAAACTCCTGAACATAGCTATGATCAACATCTATAAGACTTCGCCGAAACATTGATTATGTTATTCCCCGAGTTGACTGGTCTTTGCTTTTATATAACATTGTTTTCACTGTTAGATAGCTTTATATGATTTTACGATTTTCTCAGCACTAAACCCGAGATCACAGAGTTGTCTGTTTATGTGAGAGAGACAACGACCTAAACATAAGTATTATATTTATGTTTCTCTGAAACACATTCACCAGAATAGGGAACACAAGTCAAGCTAAGAATTGTTGACAACAAATATAAATGCATTTCACTTCTAATGACATGAAGAATATTCAATGAGTTCAACACATTTGCATTATATTGTGTGTCAAACATAACTATTTTCTCATACTTTTTGCAATAAAAGTATTCCGTTTGAGTGTATAATAAGATATTATTTGTTCCCACAACACTTTTTAATGTTATGTTATGAATCATAAAAGCATTTTTTATATTCAGATATAATCCAGGCCTTTTCGATTGCATCTGTGGTACAGATACCGTGTATTGGAGATATGAATCCCTGTGGAAGAATGAGTGCTCAAGAAGTGTTATATATGAATCATAAAAGCATTTTTTATATTCAGATATAATCCAGGCCTTTTCGATTGCATCTGTGGTACAGATATCGAGTACTGTAGATATGAATCCCTGTGGAAGAATGAGTGCTCAAGAAGTGTTATCAATGACAGTGACAGTGACTGCGAGTATAGCGTGTCTTGCAATAGAGAATAATATCTTTGGCTCACATTTGTAATCAATACTTAAGTCTGAGATAGACTTTTAAAGCGAGAGATCCTTTGATGGTTTGGACACAAACACTACTTACACATGACGTCAATTGTGTTTCCCAACAATCACTCCAAGTAGTGATCGTTTGACACATTTGATATTAAATGAATATTTTGTGCAAAACCTAGAATTCATTGACTCTTATAATTCAGCCACAAATCGGGAGAATATTAGATAAAAGTCTGCGACAAACATGTAATCAGTTTTGATTGTAGTTTCCTTTCACTCCATTCTCATGTCTTCACTGTTTTTATACAAAATGTGATACAAAAGCGAAACATCCATCCATTCACTGTTTGCGAGAAAAAAAGCTTTTTGTTTTGCATTACTGTATCGGCTCTTAATAATTAGATGTCTATTATTAGTACTGACAGTATAGGTGTGTGTATATGTCTTATGCACTCTTATCAGACAAAAACATTTGGGAGTATTCATACATTTATAATAAAGTAGTGATCAATGAGTGAGAGGCTCTAAACAAGATCTAGGCAAAGTTTCACTTAAGCCTAATGAAATAAATTATATAATTAAGAAAAAATTCAAAGCATTTCCAAGAAATTTCAATTCAAATGCAAGAATTGTGTTAATTCTTGAGTGCAATTAAGCTTGGCTATTTTCTAGACAAAACTAATTCTAACTTAAATGTTGTGCTAAATTCACAGAAAGTAATTCTATACAAACATGTGTTTTATTCAAATCATTTTCTACATCATCACAGCTTCAATAAATTTTTTAAATCAAAAGATTTTAATGTATTTTTGCGAACAGATGCTGATGTCAATCATTGCATTGAATAAAAAACTTATAACAAATTTCTACCCCCTATCTACCCATCACTCTGCCCTATTGTATAATATAATAGTATATATAAATTACAGAGATATTTCTAACCGTCTTTATTGAAAGCAATTTTTAGCCACGAGTTAAGAGCTAGAAATTTGTATCCCTAATGAAAAAAGGATGTGATTTCTGCATTATAAGCACTCGTAGGGAATTGAAAACATTTATCTTATGCTCACAATCTTTAGACACAGAGATCGTATGCATTGAGAGAAATTGGTGTAAATGTCTTTTTGTATACGTCTAATGCTTTCCTATTGTGTCCTATTATTAAATTGAATTTCCATGCGAACCACTATTAATTCATATATTGTTTTGTGGTTTTTCACACAAAACACTTTCCTATCCGCATAATTGTGTTTGTTTTGGTGTTTTAATATTTTTTATTTCGAAATTCCCATATAATTCTAGTGAACAAAAAAGTATTTCATAACAATTCTCACTCACTATAGCGAATAATTTGTAGTCAATAATATTGTACTGTTATGTTCAACACAATAAACACTTCATCGACTTTTTCTTATATCGATTTATTCATTGCATGGCGTGAACTAAAAAGGAGAGAAAATAGTTTTTATTAAATACTACTTAACATACAAGAGATTTGTCAACATATTCATCAAATTTCATAAATAGATTACTTAAATAGAGTAAAATAAAAATTTTAATGAAATATAAATAATATTCCTGTAATGAAATATTGATCTTTATCTTCATCTCTCTCTCTCTCTCTTTCTTTCTCTCCTTTTTAGTTCACGCCATGCAATGAATAAATCGATATAAGAAAAAGTCGATGAAGTGTATCTCTCTCTCTCTTTCTTTCTCTCTCTCTCTCTCTCTCTCTCTCTCTCTATACAACAACTTCTTGACAATAGTTTCTAATCGTTAGTCAAATAGGAATTGTTGTGACACTAAAAAAATAAGAAACCGTCAGAAAAATAGAAGAAAATTGTTTTATTATCTAAAGACTGGACTCAAGTAATACTCAAATTCATCTGTTTTGTCGTCAACTCGACTGAAGCTGTTTTTATAGCAAAATAATATCAAATAAATTAATTACTTTGCGCTACAATAGGACTCTTATTCATTAGATTAGCTTTTGATTTAGCAGTGGAAAGGGATCCGAAAAAACGTTTGAATTAGCGTTAATTAACAGAGAAAACAAATTATTTCATCTATTATTTAATGTAATAAATCTCATGCCTTTTTCATGCACTTCTTATTTATTGCAAGTCCTACACAAATGTCAAGAAATATAATGCAAACACATTACTGTTATTATTTCCCATTATAGTGTATAAGTAAATACTCGTGAATATTTAATTAAAAATTAACACATTCAATGAATTTGTATAAAATTGTATCATATCTTCACATGCAAAAAATATTCTCAAATATTTGAGTTCACTTTTGTATAGAGCATTGTATTGAATACTAAATAGACTGCAGAATAGAGTAAATGTTTGACATATTATCATATATGTGGCTATAGATGCTCTCAATTCGAGTACTCTATGGATTACTATTTTGAATACAATATACTGTAACTTTCATTCAAAACCAATTCATATTATATGAGCCAGAATACGAATATTTAACTCAATTCCCATATAGGTTAGCTTATTTCAAATGTTTGGTTAACGTGTGTAACAAAATATAAAATTTTATATACGATTGTCTTATTTTACCAAACCATACAACCCTTATCCCTATACTCTATTGTGTTTAAAATTTAAAATACCATTCACACGATTGGTCGACATTCAAAGAGAAAACTATTAATTTTTTAATATGAATGCTTGCCTCCACCTAAACCAATGTCTATATTTGTAATTTTTCATAAGAAGTAAAAGCAATAAAATATGATAAATGTCAAGTAAATGAAACTATAATTTAAAAATCAATAAATAATAAGTTTATAAATTCAATCACAGCATAAAGTAAAAGCACTTAAAGCATACTTTCTAGCAATACACGTACAAATTGAAATGTACTTCAATTGCACTTTAATTTCTATATTATAACGTTAGATGAAAATACACTTATTTGTATTAATATCAAATCAATAGATTTTAAATTATACTTGTTGAAATGATTTACAAAATTTAATTGAACTAAAATTGCAATTTATAAATGAAATCTAACTGAAACCAAACACTGTGTTTGTATCATAAAAGTGGACGTAATTGATGTGTAATATATTGGAAAGTCTGTTGAAATATGAGTGCATTTGAGGCCATATTTGGGGATAATTTTCAATTAAATCACTGCTTTTGACGTGAATTACGAAAACAATAGCCTTTTGGACACGAAATCCAATCACTATTTGATTGAAAGCCTCGAAAGGATTGACGACTCAAACCATTGCTTCAAATCTGCATTTGTTTTGAATCTCATTCACAAACCAATTGACCATTGATTTGACAATTGGCCGAAGAATTGGCGCTGAATTTGCGATCGCATCCAACGGGTGGTGACAGTTACTGATGGAGGAGAGTGTGGCCACCATCGAGAGGCACGCCTACTGCCTGTGTCTGCACGTGAGGCCGGCCACCATCTTCGTGGCACTCGTCAATCTGGTCTGTATTACCATTGCTGTCACCCTATGTCTCACGAGTGTCTAACCATCGCTGTGTGCATGTGTTCACCCATAGGGAGGATCACTGATCTGTGGTATAGTGACGATAGCGCTGTTGTCTTATGGGGACAACTCGTACGTGCAGTCGATGTCCGAGTCCTCGCGATCGACCACCACTTCGTTGGCGATTGTGGTCTATATGTTGCTGTCGTTGGTGTCGGCGATGCTGTTGTTCGGAGTGATTAAGTCTAAGCCCACGTATATCCTGCCCTTCTTCGGCATCCAATTCATCGACTTCCTCTTCACTTTACCCCAATTCCTCACCTCTTTGTACTCACAGCCCAATAGCCATCACTACCAGAACTGGTCCGAGCGGAGGACCAACTCGTTTCTGGATATGCGCCACATTTGGCCCAACGCCTCCCCCAACAACCTCTACACCTCTTCCCTGTTGTTCACGACTCTTATAGTGCTGTTTAAGAGCTACTTCTTGTGTGTGGTCTGGAAGTGCTATNATTTCGAAATAAAAAATATTAAAACACCAAAACAAACACAATTATGCGGATAGGAAAGTGTTTTGTGTGAAAAACCACAAAACAATATATGAATTAATAGTGGTTCGCATGGAAATTCAATTTAATAATAGGACACAATAGGAAAGCATTAGACGTATACAAAAAGACATTTACACCAATTTCTCTCAATGCATACGATCTCTGTGTCTAAAGATTGTGAGCATAAGATAAATGTTTTCAATTCCCTACGAGTGCTTATAATGCAGAAATCACATCCTTTTTTCATTAGGGATACAAATTTCTAGCTCTTAACTCGTGGCTAAAATTGCTTTCAATAAAGACGGTTAGAAATATTTCTGTAATTTATATATACTATTATATTATACAATAGGGAGAGTGATGGGTAGATAGGGGGTAGAAATTTGTTATTAGTTTTTTTTATTCAATGCAATGATTGACATCAGCATCTGTTCGCAAAAATACATTAAAATCTTTTGATTTAAAAATTTATTGAAGCTGTGATGATGTAGAAAATGATTTGAATAAAACACATGTTTGTATAGAATTACTTTCTGTGAATTTAGCACAACATTTAAGTAAGAATTAGTTTTGTCTAAAAAATAGCCAAACTTAATTGCACTCAAGAATTAACACAATTCTTGCATTTGAATTGAAATTTCTTAGAAATGCTTTGAATTTTTTCTTAATTATATAACTTATTTCATTAGGCTTAAGTGAAACTTTGCCTATATCTTGTTTAGAGCCTCTCACTCATTGATCACTACTTTATTATAAATGTATGAATACTCCCAAATGTTTTTGTCTGATAAGAGTGCATAAGACATATACACACACCTATACTGTCAGTACTAATAAT